GATCCACGGGGTCGCGGCGCGACGATGTCCTTTCCATGCGGGCGGCTCGGCGCCGCCCCATACGAGGACCCGGCTCCGGCCGCGTCGCCGCCTACCCTGCCCAACGCCGCTACACCAACAACCGGCGTCAGCATCGCCTTCACCGCGACATGATCAATGATACAAGACAAAATGAAAAAGGAAACATGCAAGACTTACCGGCTCGGCGCCCGGCACCGGCGTCGGACTCGGCCACCTCCTCGCCGCCTCGGGCCGTGGGCTCCTCTTGTGCCACCGGCGCCACCTACGACGGAGCCCGGGCGTAAGGGTGCCGGATTGCGTTTAAGAGAATCTCCCGCATCGCGTCGAGACGAACAAGAAGATGTGCGGCGGCAAAATAAGAAGACCAGACGCTCACCTGCGGCACCGGGTTCGACTGGCTATATGGCGCCTTGCCGAATCGCCAATCCTCTCCAAGGTTGGCCTTGGAGATGTCGTTGACGCCGCGCGCAACCTGCTCCACAGACAGCCGCGTCGACCCCATTCGGTTGGGGTCCTGCAGGCCCATCATCTCGTCGATGAGGCAGGAGCGCCTCTAAAGCGGGAGGACCCTGCGGGTGATGAACGCGGCGAGGAGGTCCGTGCCGGTGAGCCCCTCCTGCGTCCTCATCACCGTCACCCTCTCGCAAAGGTTGACGATCTCCTGCGATGGGCGCCGGAGCGAGTAGCCCCAGTTCGTCTTCGCCCGCGGTGGCGCGATGACGAAGGGGGGAGATTTATATGATCCGCGCCATGGTTGCGGACGTAGAAGAAAGAATTCTGCCACTTCTTGGCAGAATCCTCGAGCGGGATCTTGGGGAAATCTGCCCCCGACCGCTTGGAGATGACGGCGGCGCCGCAGTCGGTGAACTCCCCAGCCGATGGGCCCTGCTGCTTCAAGGAGAAGAAGCGTGCCCAGAGGTCGATCGTCGGCTCGACCCCCAGGTACCCCTTGCATAGGGTCACGAAGCCGGAGAGTTGGACGATGGCGCCGGTGCCAAGATGGTGCGGTTGAAGCCGGAAGAACTCCAAGAAGGCGCGGAACAAGGTGCTCACCGGCAGCCCGAACCCGCGCTCAAAGTGAGTGAGGAAGACAACGCGCTCCTGCCCCTCGGGTCGGGGCCTTTGCTCGCCGCGCAGCAGGCGGACGCCGACGTCCGTCTCCCGCGGCAAGCGCCACAAAGCTCGAAGCTGCGTAATGTCCTCGAGGGTGACGTTGGAGCCCATCCAAGAGCCCGACGGCAGCGCCATGGGTAGAAGCGGGAAGAAGAAGACGAGCGACGCAGGAAGCTCTGCCCAGGGCTGCAGGCGCAGCTGTGCATCGGTGGCAGAGAGCAGAACACGAGCAGGGGGACAGGAGGGCGCGAGCGAGAATGGTGTCCGCCGCCCCCTTGCCCCCCTCAATTTATAAGCCCCGGTTCAAACGTGGGGAAGTGGGATCGTCTGCACGCGCCCGTTCCACTACCCCGCAATAAGTGCGCATGTACGCGCACACTAACTGCTCGGGGAAGTGCAACCGCCCCCCAGATGCCACAATAAATCCGCGCGCGTGGCCCAAGGGCGCGCGGTGGCGGCCCCCCGGCCCATCGCCCGGTCCCGTCACGCGCGTGGCTTGTCAGGCCCCTCCGACTTCCGGGCGCCACGTGGCGCCTGCGCAAAGCCCAAGGGATCGCCTCAAGATTCGACGGACTCCTCGGTTCCCGCCATGACCGGATGCCGCGATCCGGTTTCCAAGAAAACCGGCACACAGCGGGTGTTACCGGACCCGGCGTTTGCAGAATCCGCCTTGCTCAAGGGGGAAACTGCGAAGGCCCACTCATCAGAAGACGGTGGACCTTCACAGCTTCGGGGACTACTGTCGGGGGGATGAACCCCGGGCGGGCAACAGAACCCGGATCCTTTTCAAAAACAGCGGGGCCCGCATCACCCCGCAAGCTGGCACGCGCTTGGCCGGGTCGCTCGACTCGGCAGGGCCCGCAACCCGGCCAAACTCTTCGACACGGCAAGGTATGTCAACCCGGCCGCAAGCAACTGGCGCAAGACAACTCGACCCGGCGCAACCAAGGCTTCCACGGCAAGCCAGCACCACCCGTGGTGTCCACGGCAACCCAGCCACGGGTCAGCTCCCGTCCCATCCAGGCCATACGATGGGACGAGACCTAAACTACCGATGACCAAGACAACAGTGTTTCCACCCATGCCTATGGTCAGCCGGAGCATGGCAACAGTGCCCCTCACCTACCCGCTGACCAAGGCTGGCGTGGCAACAGTGCTCCCGCCCTCACCGCTGACGGCAGCAAGCGGCGGCCTGACGGAGAGCGCTGTACACGACTCGACTCGGCCACGCCCTGACGATCGACAAGATGGCGCACAGTCCCCCTAGGCTCGCGGGGCCCGCGCCTAGGGGAACCTGGCGAACCACAAGCCCACAAGCGGGACCCAGTTCGGTGTCCCGGACACCGATAATACGGACCCACCGACTCGGCATATTACCATTGTAACCCTGGGTGGGTTGATCTATAAACCCCCCCAGGAACCCACGCCCATAGGGGCATCGCATCGGCATCATCATACGACACATAGAGACAAAAAGCAAGAAGCATAAGCATAGGACTAGCCACCCAACGGCAGTACCAGAGAGAAGGAATAGCCCAAGCCTTGGCCAACTTCCTTCCTCCTCCATACAACACCAAGAGCAACATTGTACTATCAATCATCCAACCAAACTCGGCAGGACTAGAGGTGTTATCTCTCCGGAGAGCCCCAAACCTGGGTATGTCCGGCGTCCCGCGCCCGCGCATGCCAACCTCGCATCTGGAGCCCACCAGCGCCCTCGAGCCTCCTCCTCTCTTTATCCATTCCTTGGCATCTGCCGTGCGCCCACCACGACACCTAGCCTCAGCCCCCTCTCGACACCGCGTCCCGTAGCCTCGCCATCCAACGCCGCCCTCCCCAGGCTCTCGACGCCGACCTCCCAGGACCCCGACGAGGCCCGACACCGACCTCCAGAACCGCGACGAGGCCCGACGCCATCCTCCCAGGTCCTCCACGGCAGCTGCTGGGGCGGCCTCCCCAGGATCCCGAAGCCGTCCTCCCAGGCCTTCGAGGGCAGCATCAGATTTGGCTCTCCCGACACCATCCTCCCAGGGCACTCGACAACGCACTACACCCTCGATTCCCTTGACCTTGTATGATTTCCCCCATGTTACCTTTAGTATTTTTCATTGCAAGTGCTGCAAATCCTTGGTATTTTTCATGGCAAGTGGATGGGCATATTTGGTGTTTTGTCAGATATAGACTATTTGTGTGAAAAAGAAGCAATGGGAGACAAATCTGATGCTTTAAACCTTTTTTATTTTTATTACAATTAAGGCTTGTAGTAGTTTATACCTGCTAGTATCTACTATCTCTACCTGCTATTATGTACTGTGAATGGTGAACGCTCCTAGATGATAAGCCTCTATTTTGCGTGTTTCAGATTCGATGGGTGATTTCAAAGTAGAAATAGATGTTCAGTCTTACTTGACGATTGTAGACGAAAGAAGAGTGTACACAAGGGGCAGAACATGGAATTTTATGGCTGGTCGGGGCTTGTCCATGGTGCGGATAAAGGAGGTTGTGGAGGAGAGGTACAAATGGTCTGTTGATCAGAGAATGACCATTTGGTATGGATCCGGAGGTAACGCCGTCCCATTGATCTCTAAATCAGAGATAGCTCAATTGTTTGATATATGTCCAGACACAAAAATAGTAAGGTTTGGTGTGACCATTGAGAGCAAACAACAACAAAATGAACCTGCTCTTGTCATGACCGAGGAGATGGATGATCAGCCGGTTCACGCCCCATTCTTTGCTTGGCTGATGCAAGCCTATGAAGGGGAGTACGAGGATGATGAGCTCGTGGGATGCAATGAGGAGAACACCTATTTGCATGAAGAGAATGCTGAGTCAAAGGAGAATCCCAAACCATAGAAAAATGTCGAGCCAAAGGCTGCAAGAGTTCCAATGGGAACACTGGATGTTGACAACTCTTATGATCCACAACATGTGCGAGGGGATGATGAGGCCTTATTTGCAAACAATATGGCTCCTACTTATATCCACGATAAAAAAAATCCTCGAATCAAAGTAGGAGCCACATTTCCTAACTCTAAAGCATTTAGAGTTGCATTGAGACAACTAGCAATTAGAGAAGATTGGTCCTTTGGCACGCAGTATAGTGACACTCAGAGATTTAGGGCTAATTGCACTGATGAGGATTGTCCATGGAGGATACATGCCTCAAAGTTACTGAACACTAAAACTTTCATGGTATGATTAGTACCGTTGTTTGCTTCTTGCTTTGGCTGATGTTATTTATTGATTTGTTTCTCTTTACCGTTGTTTATTTGGCACTTTGTTTCTTAATGTTATTGCAGGTAAAGAAACTTCCTTTTGGCCATACTTGTGGGAGTACCAATTGCAGCAAAGGAATGGCAAATAGAGATTGGCTTGCTGATAAAGGGAATGATGCGCTTGAGGAGAAACCCACGGTGAGTGCAAAACAACTTAGAGAAACTTTGCAGAAGGAGTATGATATTAAGCTTCAGTACACCGATGTTTGGAAAGGAAGAGCTCGTGCAAAGGATCAATTGGAAGGTACATATAAGGAGAATTTTCAGCAGTTGTGGAACTTTAGAGCCGAATTGTTGGCAGCCAATACTGGAAGTATATTTGAGATAGACATAAAAACAACTACCAACAAGGGGCTGCATTATTTGGAAGCAAGAGCATCACCAAATATAGCTGAGATTTCAGGAAATGGATGGAGGCACACCGTTAACTTGGAGAAAAACGAGTGCTCTTGTAGGAGATGGCAGATTTGTGGCAAGCCATGCACACATGCTCTTCGGTTCATATTCTCCAAAAAAGCCAAGCTAGAGGATTATATTGATGAGTGCTTCTCAGTGGCAAGGTTCAAAGCGGCATGTGAGGGAATTCTCATGACAATTAGGGGCAGGTCCCAATGGCCCAAGGTAAATCCTGGATTTGATATGATCCCTCCAAAGCTTACCAAGAGTGCTGGACGTCCAAGAACTAGGTGGATAAAGAATTACACCGAAGGTGGAACTGGCAAAAAACATACATGCAAAAGGTGTGGAGCATTAGGTCATCTTCGAAAGACATGCAAGGAGCCAGAGATTGAAAGTGACGTGGACCGAGATGCTACTCCTCCTCCACAGTAATTATTTCACGAGTCTAAATTTCTTTGACTTGCTGCCAAATGTCTTGCATATTAATTGCTAACAATGTTGTATTGAACTATAGGAAAAAAATCAAAGGTTGAAGCAAGCATTGCATCTACTTCTCCTAAGACACCAACTAAGCAAGATACTCAACTTGGTACTCCTACAAGTCCAATGACAAGGCAAAGGGCAGCAGCTATTGCAATTGCTTCAACACCTCCTAGTGCATCTACAAGGAGCAAAACTGCTACTCCTAGCCCTCTTCGGTGAATTTAGTTCATTTGGTTGTGAAAACCGTGAACTTTTGCTTATGGTATGAGTTTTTCTTTACTGAAATGCAAATTTTCTGTTTTCTCTAAATTGCCACTTGTCTTGTCTGTTCATTAATTTTCTGTTTTCTCTAAATTGCCTTCATCCCGATCCTTAATCTCTTTTTTTCTAGAAACAACAATGCCATGTGAAGGAGGATATCAGCAAGCTTTTGGATGTTGATCGCCCAAATCAGGTTGCATACTTTGTTCTTTTATGTTATATGACTGTTGGTTCTTTGTTGGATGTTGAGCGCCCAGATCAGGTTGCTCACAACCTTTCTTTTTTGCTATCATGTGGCTAATACTAGAAAGAAGACATCCAACACTAGGACATCTACATTCAGGAAATGTTATAATACTAACTAATACCATTTCAACTTGCAGTTATATGGATTTTGGTTCGTTGACCAGGGAGAGCGGAGAGCTGCATTACTTTGATCAGTTGCAGTTCTAACTCTCTTTATTATAACTTGTAGGAGATTAATTAGATGCTATGTAACCGGAGCCAGTACTCCTATCCTATGGTATGATGACTGTTTGCAACCGTGCATGCATGCTTAGTAGCAGAATGGTGTACGCGCATGCATTCTTAGTAGCAGAATGGTGTATGTGACTAGGAGGTGCTCGTTTGCTAATTGCTATACTGTGTTGTGAGAACCATTTTGTGTCCATGTACATTCTGTGTTGAAGAGGTGCTCTTTTGCTAATTGCTATACTGTGTTGCGAGAACCATTTTGTGTCCATGTACATTCTGTGTTGGAGAGGTAAGGGCATGCAAGTCTTTTTGGGATGATGTTAGTCTCAGTTAAACTAGTGCTCTATTTTGGCTAGAGAAAATTGAAATGAGTGCTATTTTGGCAAGTTGGCTTTTACTAGTGGTATGTTGGCATGTTTGGTTTTGACTAGTGGTAGTTTGGCTATTGTCTCCATTAAAATGCATCTATATACATCTCAATCAGAAAAAAAAGAATGGAGGGAGTATGTAGTTTTTCTGTCATTTTCTCTCTCGAATATTCATGTTCAGTATGCCACATATTCTCTCGTATATTTCTGACGTGGCCAACTCAGAAAAACGAAACCAGATTTGTGCCCAATTCTATTGGAAGAGAAGTGATAGCGTGGGCCCACAGCCTTGTCGGCAAAGACGTACGTAAAACAAAACGAAAAAAAGAAGCGAGAAAAAAAACAATACTCCTGTTTCAGAACCAATGGCCACCGCCGTGCTCCGCTGCCCGCTGCTCGCCTCGCCTCTCCCGGCCGCCGGCGGCGCCGCCGCCGCCTCGTGTTCCGGATCCTCTCGCCCCTCGCGCGTCCACATACGGCGGCGAAGGTGCCCGGGTCCCCCGCTCGCCGTCTCCTCCGACTCCTCCAAGCCCCTCGCCTCCTCCTCGACCGGCGGCGGCGGCGACCCCGACGAGGAGCCCGTCCTGCCCCTCCTCCAGGAACTCGCGGTAAGCCACTCGCCGTACCGCCTGCATTGATTCCAAGATTTGGTGGATTGGTTTTGATTGCGTTGTTCTGTTGGTAGGATTGCTTGGTGCTCCCGCCCAAATTCCTGTCCCTGCTGCCCCGCGACCTCCGCCTCGATGTAAGCAGTCACTACCCCCTTCTCAGCTCCGATCCAAGCTCATCTGCACAGTTGCTACGGCTATTTGGTTATGAGCTAAGATAATAATCAGTTAATACCTGTACACTCACTGAGGATAATCCCAGTAAAAGCGTCGGAATGTGGCTGGCAAAGTGTTGCCTATCTTATGCTGAAGTTGAGGCTCGTCATTTGTTCTTTGACTACTTTTACTTAGTGGCTAAACAAATGTGGAACTTGGTTAGGCACTACATGCCAAGCCAAGTTATTGAACAAGACATACTGAAATTGCATCACTACGGGCAGTTTGAACTGTAAATACAACTTTAATCCATCTAACAATTTCTGCTTGATTTTTCTTGAAGCTCAATGACGCGGCATTCGATCTCTCCAACGGGCCTGTTCTCAACGAGGTACGTACCGCAGAATTCAGTGATTCGATCTGATAAACATTGGAGTTCTATTTTGGTGCAACCGTGTCCAACTATTGTTGTTTGTTTGCTGGGAGACAGTGTGGCCAAGAGGTCGGTGACCTGCTGCTGGACCTGGGAAAAGCATGGGAGATGGCTAACACAGAAGCATCAAACAACCTTGCCAAGCAGCTGCCGTCGATGGCGCCCTACTTGACCGCCAGCGCGAAATCAGGCACGGATCTCATCTGTATATTGTTAGGATTTGTGTTATACATGACATGGTTTCTTGACTGAAGGCTGCGTTCCTTGCTGTTTTCCTTACATAGCGTAGCATTTGGCAAGCGGCTGGCATCAGCCGGAAAGAAGTTTCAGACTATGGGGCAGTATGGCAATGGAGAGTTCAAGAAGGTTAGTAACTCACTCATGGTCTATCCATTCCGTTCTTCTGAAATTGCTTCAGGTATATTTGTTAAGTGTTGGATTACGATTTGATTATGTCGCAAACATGTGTCCATGTCGTTACCATACAATTGGGGCCAGCAAGCGGGTTAGTGCCATGTCCAACTCCAACATTTCTGTAATATTGGTTGCAGCAGGATACAAACATCTGAAAGTGGGTGGGTGTACTAGTGACAGGAATCCGACCTGATGAGACAGAAGAAGTCTCAGATTCATTGCTTAAGCATGGCTTCATGCTGTCTCATTGCTAAATTACCTTGCATCCTGTTTTCTCAACAACAAAGAAACTTGTATCCTGTTTTTTTATTGTTTTAAAGGTTTATTTGAGCCACCCATGTATCTGCAAATGTAACATTTTTTTATTGCATTTCTATAGATTTCTGAAACAATGATCAAGATCGGTAAGGCTCTGTCGAAACGCCCAGTGATTCAAGCTGAAGTACAGGCCATGAAAGAAAAAAGAAAGCTGAAGGTAAGTTTGCCTCTCTGCACTTTGATCACCTTCAGGTGGACCTGTACATGGTTTTATCTAATACCCTTATCTTGTCAGTTTGCAGGAGCTGAATTCGAATTGACAGCGCAAAATGCGTACATCGGTGCTGCAGTTGGACTAGTTTTCGGGTAAGTTCCAGACCCATACACCTGTACGGCTGTACTGTACATCATCTCTTTCAGTTAAGCAAACTTGTAAAGATAATTGGTTTTATTTTCTTGGTCAGCTGTTGTGCATGAATTATAGTGCTAAATTTCCATAAGCAACATGCCACATGTGACACTTTTGACTAACATCAATAAATAAGTAGATAGACTATAGTTACCAGTTTTCTTGTTTCAAAAAAAAAACTATAGTTACCAGTTTCTCAAAATACTTTACTGGATACTTCTCATGTTTGGGCTGCATGCATCTCATACTACTACATTTTATATTTGATTTGATTCTATGTAAATGATTCCTTAACTTAATCAATAGTACTCCCTCCGTTCCAAAATAGATGATCTAACTTTGTACTAAAATTAGTAGAAAGTTGAGTCATTTATTTTGGAACGGAGGGAGTATTATGTTAACAACAGACAAGCTGTTGGTCAATAGAATCATTCTGTTGGTCAATAGTATTATATGATTCTAATGGTGTCCGGTTAATCAAGGATACATACATGCACATCATGCTTCACATATCAAACCGATCGACACCCAAGCGTGTTCATCACATAATCCGGCCGTGCACGCTCTTTCGCAGTGGCACGAATACTCAACCGAATGCTTGTTTGACATCCCGCGTCTACCATCCGATGCAGGTTCTTCTCCTGGCAGCTGGCCCAAGGCGTGCAAAGCAGTCCAGACGACAGCCAGGTAACCGAAGGCGACATACATAGGTTCCATCTCAACTATGTATGCTTCACCGTCCATCCTGCCACCTTCTCTGAAAGTTCTTCTTTTTCTTTCCGATGCAGCCGCTCAAGGTCCCGCTGCTGCTCCTCGGCTACACTTCGACGGCCCTGTCCGCGGCCGCGGCGGTGGGGCTCGTGGTGCTGGCCCTGCAGATGAACCCCGAGGACAAGTCGGACTAACTGAACCGCCCTCCCTTCGGTTTCTGAAACCGCGGACCTCGTGTGGCGCGTAACACCCCCTGGGAAGACTGTGATGGTGCCCTGAGTTGAATGAATCCTCTGCTGCCCCCTTGAAAATAAAAAGGATCGGAACGCGCGCTGATGTGTGGACCTGTGGAGCGTTTTGTATGTACAGATAATGAAGTGTTGTGTTGTTCGTCTGAAAACCAGTCTGTGTTCTTCAATCAAATGAAAAAGCTGAAACACCTTGGCCCTGTCTACTTGAAAGCACGACAAATTCCCATGTTCATGGCAGATTGGCAGTCTGCAGTTGAGAAACATCAGCCGGATATTGTGTTTTTCTGAATGCTTTGAAGGTTGCTCACCACACGGATAATGTGGGGATTTATTAGATTTACTTTGAGAGAAAAAATGGGCATTGATTTTCTCTGCTTTTTTTTTTGTAAATTGCAAGGGCTATCGAAAGCATGACACATTCGTGTGGCCGAACCCTAACCTTTTTTTTCCATGCAAGAAATTATCAGCCGAATATTGGGGATTTCGTTGCTGTGTACTACTCCCTCCGTCCCAAATTACTCGTTGCTGAAATGGATGTATCTAGAACTAAAATACATCTAGATACATCCATATGTGCGACAAGTAATTCGAAATGGAGGGAGTACCTCCGTCGCCTTATAATTTGGGACAGAGGAAGCAGATTATATACTTCAATGCCCTCACAGAGCGAAATGTAACTTCAGTTTTTTTTTCCTCTGTAATAATATATACTCATTCCAAAGCTCTACATAGCCGCCCTTGTAATCCTGGCTCAATTTTGTTTGGTACGAAACTCAACCATCATTCTCGGAGGATTCTCCGTTAGGATATCTCAGACGGAGATCCTGCCAGCCTGGCCTCGCAATGATCTCGGGTATCCCAAACCCAGAGCCCACCCGCCCGGCCCGGCCCGGCCCATTTCACCAAGCTGAAACCCCCCACCACCGCTTGCCCTCCTGCTGCTCTTCTCCAGTCCGCCTCCCTATCCCCACCTCCTCCACAACCCCCACCCCACCCCACCCCTCCTCCGCTGCCCATCCCAGCACAGCGGAAGCGATCGGCAATGGCGTCCTCCACCCAGGGCCAGGTCATCACCTGCAAAGGTAACCCCCCTCCCATCCGCGCCGGCTGCTGTGCATGGAGTGTATCTTGAATTCCGGTACGGTCGTTTGGTCTGATCTGGGGTTTCGTGGTCTGCTGCGCGCAGCGGCGGTGGCGTACGAGGCGAACAAGCCGCTGGTGGTCGAGGACGTGCAGGTGGCGCCGCCGCAGGCCGGCGAGGTCCGCATCAAGATCCTCTCCACCGCGCTCTGCCACACCGACTACTACACCTGGAGCGGCAAGGTCTCTCCCTCCCTCTTTCTCGCCCCTCGAATCTAGGTTTCGGCACTGCTGGTAGTCACCGCCGCCCCCCACAACCCCAGCGACTTATCCGGTGCTGGAACTTGGATTTTTCCGCCCGTCAGTAGTATTATTCCACTGCGTCGCACGCTTGTGTAGCGTCTTCAGAAGTTTAGACTGCGACAACTGAGGCTGCTGCTTCTTTTCTTCTTCTTCTAGATTATTACGATGACTGGTCGCGTTGACTGAACAATTGGGGGTTAACTAATGGACTTCTATGTAGGATTGTATGGGTCGTTCCTCATCGCGCGGGAATGGCTGTAGGGTGACTTGACCTGCTGTACAGAAGAAAATGTTTCTAGGAACTTGAGAGCCTACTGCATGCTGTAGCGATTTACTAGAATCCGTGGTCATGTTCATGAAAGGATTTTATTCATTTGCTATGCAGGATCCTGAGGGTCTCTTTCCTTGCATTCTCGGTCACGAGGCTGCTGGGTAAGCCTATAAAATCTGTCCGGTTTCATGAATTATCATCCATACCCAAGATAACTGTGCGCTGATAAGTTTGCTTTTGTCACTGCTGATAGAATTGTTGAGAGTGTCGGCGAAGGGGTGACCGACGTGCAGCCTGGGGACCATGTCATCCCTTGCTACCAAGCGGAATGCAGGGACTGCAAGATGTGCAACAGCGGGAAGACCAACCTCTGCGGCAAAGTTCGCGGCGCCACTGGGGTTGGGGTCATGATGAGCGACCGCAAGAGCCGCTTCTCGGTTAATGGGAAGCCCATCTACCATTTCATGGGGACGTCCACGTTCAGTCAGTACACTGTTGTGCATGACGTCAGTGTTGCCAAGATCAACCCACAGGCGCCCCTGGATAAGGTCTGCCTGCTCGGCTGTGGTGTTTCTACTGGTAGGTTCTAATCGTACTTTCCTTGTACAGATCTGATGTTTTATTCATCAGCAGTCTAGTTTAGCCGTCACACAAGATTTTTCTGTAATTTCACATTCTTTTAAACAAATTTTGCGTGAAATGCTCATTGATTTGTTTGATAATCTCGGCTGCTCGGCTGTGGGTTGTTTCTCTGTTCTATTTCTTTTGCTTAAATCACCCTTCATTTAGGGCCCCTTTATCAGCATAAGACTGTGGGGTTACCCATAATTTAGAGACCATCATTTGTGTCATGATGCTGCAAGATTCCTACTCTTTTATTGGTAAACTTTTTTCTGAGAGTCGACACATGATTCCATACTGTTGTTTACACCTGTTGTCGCTGACAACAATATGTGTAGCACCTTGACATTCTCGTGACTATCCTCTAGATAATTTCCAAAAATAGTTATTGTCTCAGTTTCTTTATATCTTACAAGTTACAATTATGTAGGCCTTGGAGCAGTATGGAATACTGCAAAGGTTGAAGCAGGTTCCATTGTTGCTGTTTTTGGGCTTGGCACAGTCGGACTTGCAGTAAGTAAAATATATTTGGATATACTTATATACCTGAGTGTGTAAACTACTAAGCTTCAACACCTGAACTTCCATTTTTAGGTTGCTGAGGGGGCAAAATCAGCTGGTGCTTCTCGGATTATTGGCATTGACATTGATACCAAGAAGTTTGATGTTGGTAAGATTACAGTTCCTGTCCTTTTCTTCATTGCAAACTCCGCCCCCCTGAAAGCTTAGAAACTACTAATAGTATGTTAATTTTCCTCTTAAGCTGCACAAACTTTTTGTTCAACTGCCGAAAGAGAGTAGCTCATATTTGTGTTTTCTGCTAGAAGACGAAACTTTCTTGCGCTGTGCATACTGTTTGTGGAAGCCTTTTTAAAACTAATACTTGCTTTGAATAGAAACTGAACCTGTTCTCCTGCGGCTAGTGTGGGGAATGGAAACCTTTAATATAGTTCTTGCTTGGGTTAAATCCCACATTTAATATTTAGAATTCAGTTAATATAAACCAGAAATTTCCTAGACTTTTTTATGCCTTTCTTCAGTGCACAGGGCTCCTTAACGAATCACATTGGTTTCTAGGCTCATTCAGGTCTATATACCATGAGTCTACTTTTGTTCTTTCGTAGTAATATGCTAGTATGTATTACAAATGTATCCTTGCAAACTTGATGTGCTGTACTTGTTAATATTGATCACATTACCTGGATCACATTGCAAACTGGATGCTACTTGTTAATTCTGTCTTCTTTACTTGCCTTTTGCAGCTAAGAACTTTGGAGTCACAGAGTTTGTGAACCCAAAAGACCATGACAAACCAATCCAGCAGGTCCTTGTTGACCTTACAGATGGTGGTGTGGATTACAGTTTTGAGTGCATCGGAAATGTTTCTATCATGAGGGCTGCACTCGAATGCTGCCACAAGGTAAGCTGGAGTTGCAGCTTATGTACATGGCATGTTCATGAACTTTGTGGACTCATCTCACATATTACCCACAACTCTTCGTAGGATACCTTACCCAGGCCAGTTTAGACTCCTGACTTAATCTATCATCGAATATTTGTTTCTAAATAAATGAAAGATGTTTGAGCCGAAAGGAAAAGGAGTTTAAATTCGTTGTAATATGTTACATACCTGTTTTTATATGGAAATATGTTTCTTACTGTTTCGAAATTCTCTCTTAGGGATCCTTTTCATGATTTTCAGCACCCCCAAAGTACAATATATTGCCTTGACTGATTTTTTTCTTAACTGTAGGGCTGGGGTACCTCTGTTGTCGTTGGCGTAGCTGCGTCTGGCCAGGAGATTGCCACACGGCCATTCCAGCTAGTCACTGGCCGTGTCTGGAAGGGAACAGCTTTCGGCGGCTTCAAGAGCCGAAGCCAGGTCCCGTGGCTCGTCGAGAAGTACATGAACAAGGTATCAATCATACTCTCTCGAACAGAAATAATCCGCAAGTTAAGAGGAGCTTTTTTCCATCTGAAACAAAACCTGACGACATATCATGCACATCCACAGGAAATCAAGGTGGACGAGTACATCACCCACAACATGAACCTTACCGACATCAACAAGGCGTTCGACCTGCTGCACGAAGGCGGCTGCCTGCGGTGCGTGCTGGCCATGGAGCACTGAGGATCCTGCTATGTGAAGCCGAGCAGTTTGCGTCGTGTGAAATTGTAATGCAGATCTATCCTCCGCCCTGGGACTATAGAACTCGTTTGGCCCCGTTTGGCCTAGAAACTCTTGAACACGAACCGCTGCTATAATAATATGTTGTGTTGGATGATTGCCTGGTTGGGGTCCGTTACTGCTAGTATGTTTTACTTGTTGAGTCCCATCTCTATTGTCTCTGCAAATATGTCCTGCAACTGCAACTGCAACTTTGCCTAGTCAAATATCAGCTTGAAATCACCACAGCAATAATGTCGGAGAACTAACGGTAGAAGTTCTATGGAAATTCTACAAAAACAAATCTATGTTTCTGTTGAGGTCATAATCCAAATATGGACTTGAAAATTTGTGATAGCCAACTAAATAATTTGAGCCAAAACAGATTTCACATTTTGGGAAAGGTTGCAGTTCAATTCTGTAAAGAAAACAAGACCGTTTAGATCACAAAAGTACACCTGTGTTCTTGTATTAGTTTACAGCGGTAGTACATCTTAGTAA